GACCTTTTAAGTGAAAAACCTCACACTCTCTCTCCTATTTCTCTTCCTCTCACGCGTGACCCTCCCACTTCCATAGCCAAGACCTTGAAATCCTTCTTCCTCTTGTAACTTCTTCATTTCTTGATCGATTCAAGTGATTTTTGACTTGAAATTTGTTGGAAACAATCTTCCAAATCCATTGGTAGTAGTATCAAGCCATGAAAACCACGTCTTGAGAAAACCCCATATTCAGCAGCGGTTTTGGAGGATTTTTGGGGAATTTTTGGGGGTCTTTGGGTTGAATCATTGCTTGGAGATCATCCCCTTGGATCCTAGGAAGCTATTGGCGGTGTTTCTCACCCACACTTGGTTTTTGATGAGATCATAATATTGATGAGGGTTTTGAAGTTGTAAGTTGAGTGATGATAGTTAGGAGCTTCAAATGATATGTCTCCTTTGGAATTAAATGCTTAGAATGGTAAATGAAGATGATTGATGCAATAAAATTTATGGTGATGTGGGAATTTTAACTTAGACAAATTTTGAGTGGATTTTCAAGACTTTATGAAGTTGGTATGTGAAGTAATTAAATAATTGAATTATGGAGCGTTGGTATTGATTAATAATAGGATTATATGATGAGCATAAGGGTGGAATTGAATTGAAAACCTTGTGGGGTGTTCACTTGGGAAATTCGAACCATATAAAGGATTTAAGGAAAATTGATGTGAAATGATGGTTTTAATCAATGATTGAGGTGTTAGTGAATGAATAGTTGATGATTAAATTGATTGAGATAGGTGAATTTAATGATGTGATGCCATTGGGCTAGAAGGTTGTGTTGTTAAATAATTGTGAAGTTGTATGATTCTTGAAATTGAATGAATTGTTTCATGTGTTTGATGGTCATTTTGTTGATCAATATAGGTTACCTCTCTCGGACGCGATAGTGGAAGATTGAGCTCGGAGCGTACGTTTGGAGCCTTGTGCTTGGAGTTGAGGTAAACCCTTGGAACTGGGGTCTAGTCCCTTGTGTGCTCCACCACACCTAGTGGAAGGTTGTGGTTGGATTTTGTGATGTATGATGTGGAGTGGAAAATGTATGTTCATGCATCATTACTATTTGTGTGCATTGTTTGTGATCTCTGGCCAGTAGATGTGTGTTGGTTTGGACTTCCGCTGGAGATATCCTTTGGGGATTCTGGTCGGGTTTTGCCGTGGAACCGACTCTGGGAGCGGTACCAGGATGATCCAAACGTGGGATTTCCGCTGGATAGGGCAAATAAGGAGTCCCAGTTGGGTTTTGCCATGGGGTCATCTCATCCATGGGAGAGGCACCAGGAAGATTCCCGGGAGTTATATGATTATGAGGATGTTCTTGGATGTGCCCAGTTGTGTGTTATTTTGTATGCATGTATTTTTACATGATATCATTTGTAGCACTTTGAGTGAGCCATGGGGTGGAGTGATCCTCTAGTACCCTTGGTTTACTGAGATATGTATGTATATCTCACCCCACGTTTGGGGACATTGTTTCAGGACATTATGAGCACGGAGGAGTTTCGGGCAAGAAGCCCACTTAGTGGATGGCAGTAGCATGTGGTACATATGGAGTGCATGGTATTTTGGAGGAGCATATATGATGCACATAGCATTTAGTTAGCATTTTGGGACTTAGATCATGAGCATATTGCATGTTGAGACTTCCATGCTTTTGTGATGTTCATGATTATATTCTAAGTCTCTTGTATTTGATTTACATTGCGCCTCTTGTTTCAATTTGTATTTTGTGTGAGCATGGGACTTGTCCATGGCCACCTATGTTGTATTTGAGGCATTGGAAAACTTGTGTTGTAAATAGACCATTTGATGTGTAAATGGCTATGATAGTGAGAATATTGTAAACGATGCATTGATTAATGAATATGCATGATGGAAGGGCCTAGAGCCTACATTAGGACTTGTGTAAGGTGTATATGAAGTAGCAAGGTGTTAAGAGTAAGTTAAATCGCTCATACTGGGTCTTTAAAGCTGTCATCTGTCATTTTTACTGCAGGGTAATCGATTACTTTTCATTGGTAATCGATTACCTGAAACAGAGGACGAAAATTTGAGCCACTGTGATCAAAGTAATCGATTACCTGAGCATTGGTAATCGATTACCTAGTTCAGTAATCGATTACCAATCTCTGGTAATCGATTACCTGAAAACAGGGGAGCCCAAATTGAGCTTCTGACTTCTACAGTAACCTTTGGTAATCGATTACCTGAAGGATGGTAATCGATTACCACTGTGTTAAATTTTGAAAATGTGCTTTCTAAAATCTAAAATAAACGGTATTGCTTGGAGAGCAGACTACAGCCTCCACTCAGACAGGTCTAGTATTTGGTATATTTTATGCTTCCGCGAGTTTTGCATTTACAATTATGGCGTTGTTTTAATTGATTAAGAAAATGGTTAATGTTTAAAGAAAAGAATGTAATAAAAGAAAAAGTTTACCCGTAATTTAATTAACTCAATTACTGTGATTGTAACTGCGCTTAATACCATATGCAATGATAACATTACCGGTACGTAACGGGCTGTTACACCTATGACTTGACTCTGGGAGCTATTTCATACTGAGGTTGTGTTGACTGTCTATGACTTGACCCTGGAGTCACACATGTGTAACTGTCTATGGCTTTGACCCTGGGGTTACACAAGGATGATATGATGATGCTATGTTTATGTTGTATGCCTGTATTATATGCTTTCTATATGACTTGTCATGCAGGAAGTGGGCTCAGGGGATTAGAGGATCCTCTATGAACTTTGAGCTTACTGAGAGGTGTTATCTCAGCCCGTTTGAGGACATCATTTCAGGTACCCAGAGTAGTGGTGATGCTTCTAGGGGCAAGGCCCCCGCCTTGGGGTAGTGGATGACACTGCTGATTTACTATATTCTGATTAGACTTTTTAATGGCATGTATAATTATTAACATGTCTAATTATCTTATGTTGAGATTATATTATGTATTTATTTAGGCTCATGACTGTAGTATTGGAGCCATGAATTATTTACTGATGCTTGGAAGTTTTGGAAATTAATATAGACTTGATGTATTTATTCAGTTATTTGGGCGTGGATCCTTATTGTTTGTATTGACCTGAGAGGGGATCACAGTTCGTGTGGGACTTGCGAGCTGTTTGTTTAATTATTGTATCTATCAAGTTATTGTATGTGAGCGACCCGTGTTCCCAGTTATCCGAAATACAACCGTTATTCTATCCGCGAGACTCCGTCAGGAATGACACTTGAGGTCATATCCGGATGGTCAACGGCCACTAGTGATGGCCAATGGTTTTAATTAGTAGACTTATTAGATGTTAATGTTACACTAATGCAATATATCAGATGAACGCTTTGAAAAGGTTTTAGAAATATTTGTAAAAAAGTTTACTCGTATTTTTATAAGACGTTTTATTATTTTTCTAATTAAATAAAGTCTTTCGTTGTGTATTCTAAATATCATGTATGTTAACAACCGGAGTACTACGGGATGTTACAACCGCCACCTCTTCAATTGTAATAAAGTCAGCATAAGGCAGAAAAAAATGGACATGTGCACTATCTATGCTTCAAAATGAAACAGCTAGCTGTTGCATGAGGTGTGTTAAAGAGATATAATATAAAATCACTGAAGGTCCATCACTTAGACATTTTGGCATATATTTTGCTAAGACGTGACAAAATGGTTGTGGTCTTTAATAATAGCGATGCAATAGTTTAGCCCCATTTTTTGTGTGCTTAGGGACAGATGTATTGAGTGGGGTACTATTTATTTATATAGCCACAATCTCCAAAGCACGGACACGTTCCTTTTAAAAAAATTTGTGTGTCGCACATGTGTCCGACACAGACACACTCCGACACGCTCGGACACGCGGTCAACATTTGGGGACACGCGGTCAACTCTCCGACACGTTTTTTTGACACGCAGTCAACTTTTTCCGACACGCGGTCAAAGCTGGGACACGTTTTTTTTTTTTTAAAAAATCTTAATTTTATTTTGTTAACTAAATATAAAAGAAATAATTTGAAAATTAATTTTTTTCTCTTATGAAATTTGACATGAAAAATTAACAAAGTACGAAAAATTATTTATATTTATATTTATGTTATGAAATTTAAATATTTGATTGGTTATATGACTTATTATGGACTTTTATATGTATTAAATATAAATTATATTATATATATTAAAAATTTTATTTAATATCAGATAGTTAATGCTGTGCATATTTAATAGGGTATGCACTTGATATTCGATCATGTTTGATTTGATAATATAAAGGGGTGAAATCCCTGAATGCAAAGTAAGTAAAAATAATACTGCTAACAAAAATAATTGTTTTAAAATGTGAAAAATTCAAAGTTAAAAAACTTAAGAAAGAATGTATTAAATGAAAAGTAACGGCTTTGCTCGTATTCACTTTATTTTTTTCATTTAAAATTTGTAATTTTAATTTATAAGTTTTGTTGAAATAAGATTAAATAATTAAAGGAGATGCTTTTATAATATATTCGAATGTTAATTTTTTTGGGTTATAAATATATGTCATACATAAAACATCACGTCTAATTCTATGCACATGTTTTGAAAATGTGTAGGTTAAATTATTTTGAAAATCTCTCAATATCAGAAAATTTCTAAAAAAAGTGTTCATAATTTAAAAAACTATAACAGTTTTTGAAACTTTTAGCCTCTAGCGTTACAATTTTGAACTAAGATATTGCAGGGCGCAAAGCAAGCAATTTTGATAATATTGCTGGGTGCAACACGTTGATACAAGGCCTTGGCTGCTAAATAACATGCAATCAAAATTAGTTGCTGGGATTCAACTAGCTAGCATTGCAGAATATATCTCATTCAATAGAATCAAATACAAAAAAATTACAACCTTAAAACAAACGTAATACACTTTTAAGTAGTGTGAATGTGTTTCTAGTATCACACTCATATATCTAGTTTGGTCACTACTCGTTGGCGGTGGGCATAGGGCAGCGACACAAAGGGCACACATGACTAGTTTGCAGCCATTGCACAATACATTGTTGGTGAAACACGTGGTCGCAGGGCATTGCGGAGGCTGCCACGTCATCATCATTATCACCACTCACATCGAACTCTTCCAAGCAGATAGTGCAATGCTCATTGTGTTTCATAACCTTGAATTTCTTTAGAGAATTGATGGCATTCTTGGATGCCGGAACCATTCTAACGCTTTGCATAGACTCTTCTTCCATAATTGCACTCTCCGACTCTTGAATCTCTTCAACTGACGGCACATCCAAGACGATTTCCAGAGACAAAGGGAACACTTGCCCTTGGTCTTCTGAACCGGCATGTGGTTTTATAAAATCAAAACGCTGTTGAACCTGATGTATGATGCTCCCTGAGAATTCATCAAGGCAATCGTGGGTAAAGTACTGCAAGGACCATGGGTAGGGTAAAAGCAATGCTCGTAGGAAATCTAATGCAGTTTGTTGGAGATCTTGAGCAGTACTTTCGAAGAAGTGTTTGCACCTTACGTGTTCAGTGGTTTGGAGTAAGGTTGATATGTTTATAACACGAGTACTTGAGATGTGTCGCAGTGTAACAGTAACTTCGAATCTGAAGAAATCTGCAGCTGTAACTGTGGGCTTGACATTTGAAAGTGCTTGATGTTGCTGCTCCATCCTACTCACGTCAAATCGAGCTAATTAATCCTAATGTAAGGTGAAGAAGAAAAAGAAGAAAAAGAAGAAGAAAAAGGATCTTGATTTTCAGGTGTGGTGTCTTAAGGTATATTTATAGATTAGGAAGGCATTCAAATTGGAGAAAAATTAAGGAAAGAAATCTTGTTGATATTCCAGTTAAAAGATCTTGTTTGATTGCAATATATATCATTACGAAACTGAAAAATTTATTGATTGTAAGTGAGTCAAATTGTGAATCAATTCAATTTACATAATATCCCGAAATCTTTTAAGACAAAACAATATCAGTTTTACAAATAACTCATTATAATTAAATACATCCCTTATTACAAAAAATAAAAATAAAAACAAATACATCCCCGAGAAAAATTAGGCACAGAGAGAGATCTTCTTGAAATCGAATAAAAGATTTTCAATATCATTCCAATATTAATTCATGTAAAATAATATCCCCAAAAAAAAATCAAAGCAATTACATTAGTTTTACAAATAAGTCGTTGTAATTAAATACATCCCTTTTAAAGGAGAAAAATTAGGAAGAGAGAGAATTCATCTAGATAATCCAATAAATATTAATTCAAGTAGCATAAAATCTCAAAAAAAATATTAACTTTGCAAAAAATTAATTATAATTAAATATACATTTCTTTTTAATTATTCGCCAACATAATAAAGTATGATAGTAAAATATTCTATAACATCTTATCCAGAGAGTGTAAATTGCAAATAAGTACAATTATAATAAAGTTCTTTTACATTATAGTTTTCACCAAAATATATATCATAGAAAACGAAGTAGTTTAATATATTCGCAAAAAATTGCCACAGCGGAAAAATATATATATACATTTCATGTGTTCGTTCACTCTCCTCGTTCCCTCCAATAATGATAATAATAATAATAATCATGAAAAATAATAAAATAATATATGAATAATTAAATTCTAAAAAAGAACTAAAACATGAAGTTAAGCACCAATTTAACCATGTAGTCTTGTTCAATGTACATTATGCAATACTTTTCAGAAAAGTATTCACTACTAGAAAAGTCAAGATTTTTGACGGAAAATATTCCGTCCAAATTAAAGACGGAAATTTCAACGGAAAATGTATTCCGTCGATAATTTTTTACGGATATTATTTTCCGTAAAAAATATTTGACGGAAATCTGATTCTGTCGAAGATTTTCCACAGGAAATCTGATTCCGTCGAAGATTTTCCACGGAAAAATAATTCCGTCGAAAATAATATCAAAAAAACAAATCGAAAAGAAATTAATTTTGTGAATTTTTTGACGAAATTCTAATTCCGTCAAAGATTTTCGACGGAAAAGGAATTCCGTCGAAGATTTTTCACGGAAAAAGAATGTCGTCGAAATCAATTTCAAAAAAATAAATCTAAAAAGAAATTCATTTTACGAAATCTTCGACGGAAAACAGATTTCGTCGAAGATTTACCACGGAAAAGGGATTTCGTCGAAGATTATCCACGGAAATGGAATTCCGTCGAAATCAATTTCAAAAAAATAAATCAAAAAAAAATTAATTTTATGAAATCTTCGACGGAAAACTAATTCCGTCGAAGAATTTCCACGGAAAAATAATTCCGTCGAAAACAATTTCAAAAAAATAAATGAAAAAGGAAATTAATTTTATGAAATCTTCGACGGAAAACTGATTCCGTCGAAGATTTATCACGGAAAAGTAATTCCGTCGAAAACAATTTCAAAACAATAAATCAAAAAGAAATTAATTTTATGAATTTTTCGACAGAATCTCTATTCCGTCGAAGATTTTCCACGTAAAAGGAATTCTGTCGAAAACAATTTCAAAAAAATAAAACAAAAAAAAAATTAATTTTATGAAATGTTCGACAGAAAACTGTTTCCCTCGAAGATTTTCCACGGAAATGGAATTCCGTCGAAAACAATTTCAAAAAAATAAATGAAAAAAGAAATTAATTTTATGAAATCTTCGACGGAAAACTGATTCCGTCGAAGATTTTCCACGGAAAAGTAATTCCGTCGAAAACAATTTCAAAAAAATAAAACAAAAAAAATTAATTTTATGAAATGTTCGACAGAAAACTGATTCTGTCGAAGATTTTTCACGGAAAAAGAATTTCGTCGAAAACAATTTCAAAAAAATAAAACAAAAAAGAAATTAATTTTATGAAATGTTCGACGGAAAACTGATTCCGTCGAAGATTTTCCACGGAAATGAAATTCCGTCGAAAAAAATTTCAAAAAAATAAATAAAAAAGAAATTGATTTTATGAAATCTTCGACGGAAAACTGATTCCGTCGAAGATTTATCACGGAAAAGTAATTTCATCTAAAACAATTTCAAAACAATAAATCAAAAAGAAATTAATTTTATGAATTTCTCGACAGAATCTCTATTCCGACGAAGATTTTCCACGGAAAAAGAATTCCGTCGAAAACAATTTCAAAAAAATAAAATAAAAAATAAATTAATTTTATGAAATGTTCGACGGAAAACTGATTTTGTTGAAGATTTTCCACGGAAATGGAATTTCGTCGAAAACAATTTCAAAAAAATAAATCAAAAAAGAAATTAATTTTATGAAATCTTTGACAGAAAACTGATTCCGTCGAAGATTTTCCACGGAAATGAAATTTCGTCAAAGATTTTCCACGGAAATGAAATTCCGTCGAAATCAATTTCAAAAAATATATCAAAAAACATTAATTTTATGAATTTTTCAACCAAATTATTATTCCGTTGAAGATAAGCTTGAATTTGGAAGACTAAAACACTGCTAGACATTAAATTGGCATTGTTTCCTTTATATGGCTCTTAGCTATTTACATAGGATGTATGTTTTAGGAGTGATTGTTTGTGCTACTGAGCACTTATATGGATCTAAATATTATATGAATAAAAAGAGAAATGAATAAATTCCTTCTTGGGCCTTATATGTGAAATTGGATGTTATGAGAGTGGGATTATATCCCCATTTATACGAGAAAACAAACAGAACTTTGTCCTTGATACATCCATCTGGAATGACATTTGTGGTCATATCCTAATTGCCTTATGTGATCTTTGACTATGGTCATTGATCATGGATGTATTACAGAATGAAAGAAAAGAAAGAAGTATGTTATGAACAAGTAAGAAAATATGTATGAGTTGCAATATATCATGTGAATGTAAGGGAAAGAAAAGAAAAGAAAAAATAGAGAAAATTATTTTTAAAAATATTTTGTACTTGATTAATTTTTAAAACATTAGGGGTTTAAGTGAAAAAATGTGTAACCACAGTGAGTCTAAGTGATAAATTTAAAATCACGGGGGGTCTACGTGATATTTTTAGGAGATTATTAAAAAAATTTCTTATCTTATTTTGATAATACATATTTAATTTGGGGGCAATTATACTTACCACCAGATAAGTTTACCACCCTTACAACCAATCTCCTAACCGTCCGATTAAAATTAAATCCAACGGTTCATAACATTCCCTTATAATCCTAAATCTTACTCTCTCATCCCCTCTCTATCTCTAGGTTTAGGATCTGCACACACCTCTCTCTCTCTAAATTCTTTCAAGCTCGTGGCTGGCAAGTCCATCTTGTTCGTACATATAAAAATTAAAATTAGGAAGAAGCTCAGGAACGACGAGCACAACGCAATTTGGTGCTAATTTTTTTACTCTAGGGTTCTTTGATATTCGTGCTGGAGGTGCTTGTATTATTATCATAATTATAACAACGAAGTCAGTGTGCCATTTGTGAAATTTTATGTCTGTAAATATGCTAATAACAACGAACAGAAACAATGCCTGATCATGCGTTGATTACTAGGTCCTTTTGAAATACGCTCTATTAATTTTTATCGCAAAGCAAATGTGTGATTATCAATCAGTTCTTGTGCTTTCTACTGATTGAATCTTGATAATCGTCAGAAACTACTATGGAAATAATTATGGTTACTTACGATTAGTTTATTGCTAAGATTTATATTTTGTTGTGAAATGACTGAGAGAGTTGATTCCCAAACCTAGAGAGAGGTGTGTGCAGATCCCAAACCTAGAGAGAGACAGAGAGGGGATGCGAGAGAGAAAATTAGGATTATAAGGAATAATTATGGGCCGTTAAATTTAATTCTAATTTATAGCTTAGGAGATTGGTTGTAAGGGTGGTAAACTTACTTGGTGGCTATGTAGCACCGATACGACACGCGACACGTGACACGACACGACACTCCGACACGTCAATCCTAAAAAATTATGGATTTCGACACGTTGGGACACGTTTTAATATTAAGTAATATTTTTAATTTATATAGTGTATATTTCATTTAATATTTAATAATTTAACAAAAAAAAGAAACTAATTAATAATACCCATCAACACGTTATAAAGATGGAAGCTTTAATAAAAAAAATAAGAACTGGGATGAGAGAATTATATTATATCAGATAGAGAGATCAAATCATATTAGAGAGAGATCAGAGAGAAGAAGATACAACAAGAGCGTGATAGGAATCGACAACAATAATGCTGAGATGATCTCTTATCTACTTAAGGGGAAAAAAGACAAAAAGATAAAATTGATATGATCAGGTGGAAGCTTTATTAATATATTTTAACTTTTAAAAAAAATTACGAAAATGTCATTTGACCGTGTTGGACACGGTCAAATTCGCGTGTCGGAATGGTCAACGTGTCGGAAAAAGTCAACCGCGTGTCCGACACCGTGTCGGAGCGTGTCGCCATGTCGGAGCGTGTCGGACCAGACTCTTCCTGTTTTTACAAGTGTCCGTGCTTCCTTGCCTGGTGGTAAGTATAACCGTCCCCATTTAATTTATGTTAAACAAATTTTATTCTATTTTTTAAATATATTTAAATAATGTAAAAAAATTAAGATAGAGTTATAAATTAATTCCTAAATAAATTACTTGCAAGATTGTGGAATATAAATTTTAATTATTAAGACAACAACGGTGAAACT